TGGAGAACTATTGTTCCTGTATTCTTCAAAAAGGTTTTGCAAGCATTTGGTAATTGCAGCCCAAACTTTCTACATCCCAACACCGTCACCATACATCTCTTCGATTACCATTTACGTATCTTGTGAAAGCTTGTATCTAGGATCAAGTACAGCAGACAACAAAAATCAACAAGTTAATATTTTCCTTCTCCTTCTCCTTTCCCTTTGCCTTGTCATTTTGCATTTCTAAATGTTCATGCCACTTCCCCAATACTTGTCATACTTGTCTTTCATTCTTCTCCCATTTCTTCTTTGGGGAGAATCTGAACTACTCATCCATTCATTCACCAATTCATTGACCTCTCCAATCTCATGAAAGTAAGTGTGGCAGTCACACTTAATGATCTTGAAACACGTTTTGTTACTTGACAAAATGCCCTAGAAACTCGACTAGTTTTCTTGCATTATCCCAATCATGCTCATCGGGAACTCTGGACCAGGAACACACAGCTTAATGTCACTAAGCAATTCAATTGTATAGTATGGATCTTCATCTGGATACCTAGCAAACACCTTTTCATATGTGCAAGCTGCTTTTAGCATATCATATGTCGAGTTCCACCTAGTGCACACATCAAGGTTCAAGAATGCCTTCTTGTCCACTTTCTCCCATTGTGCAATCTCTTTAAATTTGGCCAATCTTGATGAACCATTCCTAACAAATCTAATCATGCCCATTACACGCTTGATAGACTGGTCTACTTCTTTCAAACCATCTTGGACAATCAAATTAAGTATATATAAAGCACATCTCATGTGAAGGTATTTGCCCCTGCTATGCTAGTTTTCACACTATTCATTTGTCTTCTCAAATAACTAACACCACTATCATTTGCACTAGCATTATCTACTGTTACTGTCATTACTTTGTCCAACCCCCAATCAAGCAATACTTTATGCAGGTGTTTTCCAATATCATCCCCCTTTTTACCTTTTACCTTGAAAAAACTAATTATCTTTTTATGCAGGCACCAATCTTTGTCTATAAAGTGGGTTGTCACAGTCATGTAATTATCTTGTTGCTGTGATGTCCAACCATCGGTTGTGAGGCAAACTCTATTGCATTGTTCTTGAAAGAAAATTTTAAGTTTTGCTTTCTGCTCAAAGTACAACTGCACAGTGTCCCTAGTACATGTCCTTCTAGAAGGGATAATGAACCTAGGGCAAGCAAGAGACATGAACTTTCTAAAACCAGGCTTCTCACCATATCCAAATGGCTCCTCATCTTCTATGATCATTTCAGCAAAAGCAGACCTAAGCAATTCAGGATCAAACTTCCAAGTACCTACACTAGTGCCTTGACTTACTGACAAAACACCTTGTTTTGCATCATCACTAACTCTATGAGGATTACGCTTGCAAGTGTTAAAATGCTTACGCATAGCAGATGTACCATTGAGCCTTTGGATGTCTTTGCAATTTCATTCTTTGCAATAGTTGCATTTTCCTTGACCAACTGACCTTTATCATAGATTTTGGTGAAGTGATCTCACATGCTAGATCTGGATGCCATCGGCTTTCTCTTCTTTTCCTCCTCAGCTTCTACATCAATGACCTCCTTCTCCTTCTCTGCGTCACCATCAGCACCAGTAGCAGCACCAGCACCATCCTTCTCTGCATCACTATCATCCTTGAAATTCCCATCACTCCCGCCATAGGTCTCTTCCCAATCCCTCAAGTCTTGGTCCATGTCCTCGTCAGACATCTGAAGAAATGCAGTCAAGTTATCAACTACAAATCCCCACAACAAATCAGTCACTAATACAGTCGGATCTTTAACACTTACATTGCAGGATGCAATTGATGTAGCCGTTGTGGAGTAGATCACAAGAAGTGGCGGCGTCGGCATGCGGCGGGCGACAGTGCTTAGGGCGGCAAGGCCGGGTGGGTCAGGTGCGTCTTGCCTCAAGGCAGTCTTTGGATCTGCTGGCGCGCCTAGCCTGGCCAGATAACCACTGTTGTGTCGTGGAGGAGCTGGCCCGTGTCGGCCTGTCGCTGTCGAGGTCGCGGAGGGAGGGACGAGGGGAGGCCCGGATGCTGGGAGGGGGCTGGGAGGCCAGAGACCCGAGGGGAGGGCGGATCGGCGTGGCGGGGGGCGGGGCGTGGGCGGGGGGTTGGAGACCAGAGGGAGGGAGAAGGCCTTGTGGTGGCGGATCGGCGCAGCGGAACGGGTCGAGGCGGTGAGGTGAGGAGGTGAGTAGTGAGACCCAGTGAGGATAGGAGAGTGGCCGGTGATGGTGAGGACTTAGGGTTTACCTTTGGCTGCTGGGAGTGTATTCGATGGCCCATCAACAGCGTGAGGAGGAAGAGCTGTTCGGTTATTTCAAGTCATTTGGTTAATGAGATTCTGGAACCGAATTAACCGCAGTACTAATTTGGTTCTGAAAACAGGAACCGAACATGGAACCAAATTTACCGGTTTCGTTACTTGAGTTTCGGCTCCGGTTATTTCGGTTCGGTTCTCGGTTTTCGGTTTTTGTGCTGAGTTGTGACCGTAATTTGAATATAGCATGATGGCGAGTGGCCCTAATCCCTCCCTCCACCAAGCCAACGTGGCCCACCGATGCTCGTGGCCCACTCTGTCTCGCCCGGGTCAGCCCAACAGTGCATACTGTCGCCTCGGCCCATGCGAAAAACAGCCCCACACCATCACCCCGCTTGCTCTCGTGATGCGTGGGTTGCTCACCTTGACTCATTGCCATGTTCCCTAAAAAATCTAGTTGCCATGCTAGATCCACGGTCGATCCCTCCTTGTTCCTCGAGCCGATGCAGAGGTCGGACTCCTCAGGGACTCTCTCAGAGGTCTGATCTTCATCCGATGCTCCCAGATTTCAAGCATCATAGTCGGTCCACCTCCACCATAGGCCATAGAACATGACCACCGTCCCAGTCCACGCCTGGTCCATGACCACGGACCACTTGACATTAGACACGTGCCCGGCAACAGCGCCTCTTTTGCAAAAGGACCCTTCTATTTTGGGGAATTCATCTGCAATCTCCTTCCTATTCAAAATAATTAATTGTCAGTCCTAACTCCCTATTTGTTTTAAAAAATAGGAAATGTAGTCCAGGAGGAGTGGTGGTGGTGATAGCAGGAGGCCTGGAACCGCTTAAGGGCGGTTCCAATGTGGAATTAATGATGGTCTCTATCTCTATTAATTGAGATGCCACCTAAGTAAAATGCTGACATGACAACCTAATTAATGAGGAAACAGAGAAAAATTTGAGGAAACCGTTTCCTCTTAGAGAAACGACATCGGCTCTTGAACTGAGGGAGGAAGAAACTGCAATTTCTGCGTTGCGAGGAAACCATCGGTTTCTATAGGTGGGGACCGCGATGCGCACTCACCCGCATAGCTAGGAGCTTTCCTGTGTTCCGCGCACGGCCGCCCACTGGAAACCTCGCCTGCTGGCTCACCGGTCGCAGCATGTCCTTGCCCGCACCCCCGCCCGTCAGCCACCGCGTGAGCCCTCTTGCCCACCACTGCGCGACCTCCCTCGCCGGCCGCGCCTGCCCCGTTCGGCCAAGCCCGCCGGACCTACTCGCGCACACCGTCGAGCCCGCTCGCGTTGCTCGCCCTAGCGGCCTCCACTGTCCCCTCCTCCTCTCACCTGTTGTGCTTCTTCTTGCTCGGGGAGTCCGATCGGGGAAGAAGATGGTGCTAGGAGAGAGAAAGAGGAAAAAAGCAACATTTATTATAGGAAGACCCCTCCACTGTGTGGGGGTAGGGGTAGTTTCTACATATAGTTTCTTGCTCATGTGGCTACTATGGAAACCGTGTGTAGTTTCTACCATTGGGACTGCCCTTAAAAGCGGATTCCTTGTGTGAGCACGCGATAATCGTGCTAAATACATGTGATTTTTTCACCGCCTCAGGCAACGTACTGCGGGGCTTGAACTGCGATCGTGATTTTTGGTAACGCAGCTCTCCCACCGCAAATGGCGTAACGCACCGCGCGGTGGACATCCTGTTTGGAACGATGACCGGCAAAATCGCGACCGCGATAAACCGAACGCGGCTTGAATCCGGTAATTTGCGATTTTAGCCTCCGCAGTTCATTTTCCCACTTCTTCGGTTACGCGCGACCGACCAACGCGTGAAAATCACATGACGTTCGGCAGGGTTTTCTCTAGCGTCTCGCATATAAGCGCCACAAACGCGGAACCAAACACGACCATAAGGTGAACCAAACAAGGCCAGAAGCCGGAACCGCAGAAGTTCCAGATTTTTTTAGATTTTAAGAGGCGGGAGGGGAAACACCATTTTTGGTGATCTCCAACTAGATTTTTTTAATCTTTAGAGGCAAGAGTGGAAACGTCATTTTTGGTCGCGTCAGCTAGATGATGATGATGATGATGATGATGATGATGATGATGATGATGATGATGATGATGATGATGATGATGATGATGATGATGATGATGATGATTATTATTATTATTATTATTATTATTATTATTATTATTATTATTATTATTATTATTATTATTATTATTATTATTCAGAGACGACACTAGCTAGCAACACTATTTTTTGTGGCGTATGCAGGACCGTCTCTATTAAGAATCGTTAATAAAGACGTCCTCTAGAAAGCATTTATGTCTGTTTGTGAAGGTAGTAGTGAGTAGATTACTGCTTATTTTTACTATAATGGACCAATCAAAATTATACTAGATCCCCTCAAAAAAACGTCCCTCGCTGAGAGCCTCTAACCATTTTACACCTAGAAAAATACATACAAAACTTTATCTTCATTAAAATCAAAGGCTAATAAAACACCCAAACCCATCCGACGCAGCTCTTTGATGTGTGATGCCAGGCTTCACACCCCCCGCGCCCTTCATCCCACGGACGCCGGCTTCAAACGCTCCTCCCCGCACCCGCACGGCGCTCGGGCGGCGAGGGTTCGATTCCCATACCCGGGACCTCATTTTCTTCTCTTCTGCAAAAAAAGAAGAAATGTCTCGCTGCCTCCGTCGATGCCGCCGGTTCCACATCTTGCGTGGTATCCTCGCCACACTCAAATCAACTAGCGGATGTGGCTCCGCCGCTGGCGGCCACCACCGAGAGGATCACTCCATGGCCGATACCGCTGCACCAACCGACGACGAGCCCTCCGTCAAGGTACCGTGCCATGCATAGCTTCACCCGATTCGGCTTTGTACCATGACAATTTGAGATCTTGGGAGGTTTGCGACTTGCGAGCTTGTTCCTGATTTGTGGGGATGCGCAGGTGGTGGTGAGGGTGCGGCCAATGGTGAGCCGGCCGGTGGACGGCAAGGATCTGTGGTTCATCCACAGGACCGCCCCAGACTCAGTCACCGTTCGCGGTGGATGGCGTCCTCAACGACAGGGCCTTTCAGGTATACCAACAGGTTTAAACCCCATTACACCGAGTAGCTTGCCCAGTCGTGCGTGACTCTGAACGGATTCTGCCAATTGGTGGTTGTTTGCAGGCCGATGCGTTCAATCTGGTGGGATTGTCCATTATTGATAACTAGCAGAATTACCTTTGAACTAGCAGAATTCCACAAAGGAGGAAAGACATCTTAAGAAGTCTCTTTCAAGGCTTGGGTGTGTAAATCTGTAATTGCTTCTTTGATATTTTTTCGCTTTCATCTTGATTCAGTTATGCTAATAGACCAAGATCACTGTTCATCATTTCTTTTTATTTCTCTTGGTGAATAATGGTGCTCATCTTATGACTTACGCATGGGTTTGGTCATGAACTTAGCAATCATATGTACTGCACAGGAGATCCAAAAGAAACGAGAGGAGGGAAGGGACTCAGAACTAGAAAAGACTAAAATTACGGTGAGCTATTCCTTTCAGCCAATTTTTGGATAATTAATTTAAGGGTTATATTGTGACACCTTGTGTTTCTGACTTTTTGACGACATTCAGATAGCTTCTCCGATTATTTGGGTTCTCCGCCGCGACCTCGTGGGCTCCGTCGCCCGCCCATGGTGTGAGACCTGAGCTCCGCCCATGACCTTGCCCTCTCCTTTCTGGCCGCCGGCGAGCCCCAGGAGAGAGGTAGACCTGCTGCGAGAGGAAGAAGCAGGCTGTGATGCTAGGAGACAGGCACATGAACATGGGTAAGCCAGACTACCAAGGTCTCTTCACCACAACCCTTTTATGCCTGGACATTTTGAAAAATCATGTGCATCTCTGATCAATTGCATTATTATGAAACCCAAACTCTTACTGCATTTTTTTCACTGCTTTTACCTAGGAGTAAGCTTCCATAGTCTATGGAGCATGGTTCTAATTGGATATATTTTGTTGTACACTCACTTTATTTTTTGGAGTTTGTTAGATGCATTCTTTCCAAAGCTAAGGGCTTATGGATAAGGTTTTAAAGAAGGTATAACCAATATTGTGAGTGTGCAAGATGTGCCAAGATGTATGCTTGTGATTCTACATTTAGAAATTATTAGCTGAAGGATTACTAAGTTTCTCCCATGCTTGATGTGGCAAGTTTTTTTCACGAATGTATTCAGTTTGTTGCAAGATATATGTGTGCACATGTGCTTGTTCTTATTTTTTGGTGTGTGTGTGGGGGGCATCTTTCAAACTCAAAGCTCAATGATTTATAGCAAACTTATTGTTTCATATAAGTGTCAGTCTGGCAGATTTGGATGTGTTCTGTCAGCCTATGATACATGCTTATCGAGAGGTTTACCGGTGATGGTGCAGGAGCTTCTCTAAGACCATAGCTCAATGCAGCTGGAGGCCACCATGGACTTCAGGAAGATATTGTTCATTGGTGAGATTTGGCTGAAAAATATTGTTAAAGCAACAAATGGTCCATAATTCTATTTTGTCATATATTATTTAGTTTACAGTTGAAGCTAAAAAAATCCTCAGAGCTTGCTAAACCAGATAAAATACTTGCTGGTGTACGGATTGATCCAAGTTCTAATACAAGGAGTCGAATGTAAGTAATGAAATTTGTATGATTTTGTATATGAGAATACATGCTTGTAATTTTCCTACACTTCATTTCCCGTTCTTCTCTTTATGTCCTTTTATACTGGGATCGATATCCATTTGCTGAAGTGGTGAATGGATACAAGGATAATGCAAAGATTAATTTTGTAGGATGGTAATTTTCCCATTATTCTTCATCAATCCTCTGTTTTAATATGTTATGGCATGCTGCTCTTTTTTTTCCTAATCACGTTCATTCTCTATCCTGAATTCTAGGTCACCAAATGATCAGCATGTGGCATTCACTGTGCCTATGAACATCAGGGCGCCACTGCTTGCTGATAAATTGATGATTTTATCATCACAATGGTTTCCTGATTTCTCACTTGTTCTATAAACTTCTGTAGCTTATAAGTGTAGGTTGACAGTACGTACTCTGGAGGTTGGCATTCAACTGCGCTACCCTAAGAGGGAGAGGTATTTCCATTATCTTCAACTAAGGATTGCCGTTTTGTAGGATGTTGTTCTGTTCTGTGACTCTGTCAAACCACCAGCAGCCTCCCTAAAAGACTATTTTCTCCTGTTTAGAGATTATGTAGAATGTGGTTGTTTCTTGATTTTTTTTTTGACAAAAAAATGATGCAGGCAATGAAGGAAGACAATGCTGAATTTTGACTAAAGATGAATTTCGAATTTCTTGAAACTATCTGGTGTGTGTATGAAGCTGTTTTAAACCTGTTACTCTCTTCTGTGGAAGCCGTGAGGTGATAATTCTGCTCGATTCTGGTAAAGCTGTTGTAAACCTGTTACTCTCTCTTCTTCTCCTTGAGAAATCGAAATCCTGCAAGCTTTTGTTAGCAGAACTCAACCTGATTGCAGAATTTCATATTCATCAGATGAACTGAAGAGCGAACAAACTATTCATCTGGTGAACTGAAGTGAGAAATAATGATGTTGAAGAAATGCTGAGATTGCAGATTGCAGTTCAGTTAAAAATATGAAATCTATATGTGCCTTTTAGTTATTTGATTTATCTAGTTATTGCTGCCGTAGTGTTAGTCCGGGCATTATACTAGTAAAATTATAATAATCATGTTTCTGAGTAATAGATGGAACAGTCTTTTCTTCAAAAAGAAAAATGCAATATACTGACAAGAAGCACATCATGTTCTAATAAAAAAACAGTTGTTGCTTCCAATTAGGCAAATAAATCGGACGTACCCGAAGTCCACGAGGAGCCGTGGTTGTGATGGCGGAAGCTAGACTCCAGAGCAGAGCTGGATGTCTTTTTTTTCTAGAGCTCAAGCTCCAGCTAGTTTTTTTTAATTATTATTTTCGGAGGCGGGAGTAAAAACACCATTTTTGGTGGCATACGAGCTCCAGCTGGATTTCTTTTTGATTTTCAGAGACAGGACTGGCAACACCATTTTTGGTGGCGTACGCTGGACCAACACCGTTAAGAATCATTGATAGAGACCATCTTCCAAAGGCGTCCTCTAGAATACATTTATCAATTTATGTCTGTTTGTGAAAAACCAAAACATAGCAGTGAGCAGATTACTACTTGAACATATGATAAACATGTTTCTGAGTAATCAACGAAACTCTCTTTTCTTCAAAGGCAAAATACAATGTATATACTTATTATGGGTCCAGAAGCACATCGTGTTCTAATAAAAAAAAGTTTATTGCTTCGGATTAGGCAAATAAATCAGATTCACGGGACCACAGCTTGGTAAGAACATAAAGTCAGCTCATGTGGACCGTCCGTACGGTGATTTCAGTTTTGTTGGTTAGAGGACAAATACTAAAAATCTTGTTGCGGAGATCATCTGTTCGTCCACTATGCAAGACGGTAATGGCCACCTTTTTGTGAAATCTTGTGCTGCATCGGCACAATAGCCTCACAAGTTCAGCTTTATGGTCAACATATCCATTGTCGGTTATTACAACTTCTTCAAGTGAATCTAACACAACATTATGTGTCTTGCAGTTCTCTAGTCGGCTACATGGACATCCCGATGACACCTTGCACGGGTAGGGGTAGCCATCCTGAGGAAAGGAATTAAAATGTATTTTAAAATTTTGAAAAGACTACTAACTTGAAGTAAATATTGGTAGCTACCTCTGAGCAAACCATATTTTATACTCCCTCCCTTCTTAAGGGTAAGTTGTTCTAACTTTTAGACACATAGCTTTTACTGTGAATCTTAAGAAGCTAAGAATGACTTATAATTTAAAATTGAGGGAGTATTATCTATCTAAACAAAAGTAGAGACTTTTTTATTGGAATGCATGTACGTACCATACTGCCCCTCAACTGCACCACAAGCTTTCGTATGCCAGCACATTTTCGGAGAAAATGTAGCATAGCGGGCTGAAAGCCATGCTTTATCTCCACAAATTTTACCAGCAAAACCTTACACCTGGCAAGTGTACCTGTGCATTTCAGAAATCTCTCGTATTCTTTTACGCCCTGCAAAGACACGAAATAAGACGTGAGAAAGGAAGGGAAGCTAAAGGATATCTTGTAGGTTATAAGAACTGATTTGGCTTGTGGGCACAAGAAACGGGCCAAGTCAGGGCCAAGATACAAACGATCCTTGTGATCATGGTCAACCACTAAAGGTTGGCCTAGCTTCTTGTAGGCTCCTCATCCAAACATGCCTATAATATTGTATCTTCCTAACCCTACAAAACTCAATGACTAGATTTTTTTACTTGAAAGTTTTATAATTTATCTATTTTTAGCCTCTTAGAGAGCATCTACAGAAGGTTCAATACGTGGCCTTTTATTACAAAAAATAGAAAATAAACCAGAAATTAAAGCTCCAATAGATTTAACCACTCTTTATCTTTTCCACGCCACCGCTACATGACACTCTACATTCATTATATGGTAGTTTTGTATGTCATGACACTCTAAAAGGCTTCAAAATGAATTTCATACTAGTAGTAATAGTAATACAAAAATTAAAAAATGTGTAAGGCCATACCCTCGTAAGGTTTACAGTGAGGTGCAGCTCCTCAACCGTGTTGAACTGACGCATCAAAGCGAAGCCAGAAGAATCGGCTTCTACCTCTAGGCGGCGGAGTTGGTGGCCGGCGCGTGCGAGATGATGGCGGCTGGAGTCATAGGCATGGCCGCTGCTCCAGCGCACCTCCGAGAGCTTCGGGGCAAGCATGCACAAGTCACACCTGATGCACGGATGAAACGTCTGGAGATTTGGGGCGTGGACACGGAGCCGGCCGTTGAGTCGCACGGCGTAGGAGATCTCGAGCCACTCCAGTGAGTCGGAGCGTATGGATAGGTCGCAAGCTCCGTCGCCGTCGCCGTCGCCGTCGCCGTCTCCGTCTCCGTCGCCGTCGCCGTCGTCCTGCTGCAGCATGATCCAATCGATCACGAGCTTCTTGAGGCACGGGCAGCGAGACGACGACACGGCAGCTTCCAGCTCGCGGCCGTGCAGGTAGGCAGACCGTATCGTCAGCGTGGCCAGCGCCTTGAACACGCCGCCGGCGGGGGGCAGCGCGAACCGCAGGGTGCGATGGCTCAGGTCGAGGCTGATGGACGTGGCCTTCTCGCACAAGGGAAGAAGGACCTCGCCGTCGCCGTCGTCCTTGGCGCTGCTGCGGAGGCACAACGGCAGCGTGATCCGGAGCTCCCCCGCAAGGCGCGGCGCTGCGACGTGCAGCCACGCAGCGATGCGGTCCGTGCTCAGGTGGGTCGAGCTTTCGAACGGCAGGGTGATCTCGAGGCGGCTGAGGCTGACCGTCGACGTCGTCGCCCCAGCCCCGGCGGCGTGCGCGGCCAGGGCGGCGTCGACACGGTCGGGCACGCGGCCGCCCGGGGACTCCGGCTCGAACTCGCACCTGTAGTGGAGGGAGATCACGGGGGTGTAAGCCCAGACGCGGCGCCAGCGGCGGGAGAGCATGCTCGTGCGCGCCGCGTCGGCGGTGCCCGGGAGGCGGATCAGGATGTCGTGGAGGAGGTGGTCGGGGAGGTAGCTGATGCGGTCAGGATCAGCCGCCTCGTCTCTGGCTCCGGCTCCGGGATCGACGTCGCCGTGATCTGTGCCCATGATCGGTGATCCACCACCAACGACTCCGATCGTATGGTTGATGGTCTTCAAGGCTTCAATTCGCCGTGTTCGTGGCCGCGGTTCTTTTGTTTTGTTTTGCTTTTCTTGAAAGGCGTGGCCGCGGTTCTTATATCGTGAGTGCGGATGGATCCGTTACCAACTCGGACGGTTAATGGGCCTACTACTTATTATTGTCGACATGGGCCTCATCATGACCTAAATCAGCAAGTTTTATCTGACCAGCCTCCTGTATTTTTAAAATTTATTATTTGGTTGCTTCAAAAAAAAAATTATTTGGTTGGAACAGCCCATTGTATTTTTGAAATCTATATACACAAATTGGATTTGGAAATGCTTGTTGTATTTTTGGATTTGGGCCTTAGCAGGCTGACCACAACTTTGTGGCCTTACCACAGTCTTCCTTTGCTATATATCTAGACATATGCTTTAGGCACATAGCAAAACTGAAATACCAAAATGTAAGCCCCTCCTTTAATCGATTATGTATCTGTCACTATCCCCTAAGTCGCTTGGGGAAAAAAATCCGAATTTGTATCCATCACTGTCGCCTACTCCATCCGTCCTGAAATATAGTGCATTATGGTCATTCTCAGACAAAATAAAGGAGAGCGCAATAGACGCATGTACTTCCTAATATATTGAAATATGATTCTATTGCGCATAATTAAAAGGTGAATTCTCAGTCTCCTCATACAAAATATGGCAAGTACATGAATTAATTTCCATGTACAAAATAATCACATATTTTTATTGAAGTAAACATTACCTACTTGTTCCCCTAATGCACTACTCCCTTCGTCCTGAAATATACAGCCTGTTCGCTTGGTCGTAAACAATCGTAAATTTCCAGCCAGAACAGTATTTTTCTCTCACACCAAACCAGCCAGCAGTAATAATCCACGATCGTATACGATCGTTTCAGCCCCAGCCGAACAGGCTGATAGTGTATCGTGACTTCTAAAATCTATACTGAAATATAGTGCATTCTATATAATGACTATACCTAGATTTGGCAAAGTTTGTTTAAATGGAAACCATAGTTTGAAGAGAAAGTCCTTAATTGGTGTAATGCTTGGGTACATGCGTCATTTGAGTGTTTCCTTAAGTTGTCTTAAAATTTTTAAAATGCCCTATATTATAAGACGGATGGAGTACATTTTAGGACAAATTTCAAATGGCATAATGCACTGTATTTAGGACGGAGAGATCAGGTCGCTTGGAAAAAAAAGAGTGACACAGAATTTGAACAGCAAACCTATTTATTTACCCATCTCAAAAGATAATATAAAATATACGATATACAAGTATCTCGTTTTGACCTTGTATCGTTTGTTACTATTATAGCATAGGTCGCCTCAGCCGGTTTATTACTGTACCTTCCCGTCCATTTTATTACTGTACCTTCCCCGTCCTATGTTCCAAAGAGGGCCTTAGGATAGTATTGTACTCCAAATAGATTCAGTCCTACTTAGATATGTGTCTAGTCTTAGAATATGTATTTGTCATCAGACATATAATAAAACATAGACGACTCCCTAGAAAAGTTTAGGGAGGTAAATTAGATTAAAAATATTTTAAAATATAAAAAATAAAACTTAATAATTTTATCTAAATATTTTTACCTAGAAAATAAAGCAACTAAAAAATCCTATAATTTCTTTGTCAATATAATTTTCTATAATATTTTTAAGATTAATTAAACCAAAATTTTAGATTTTTAATTGCATTATTTTGTGATAAAATGTTTAGACAAAATTTTAAAATCTATTTTTATATTTTTTGTATTTTTAAAAATATTTCCAGTC